TACACTGTATAATGAAATTAAATATGTGAGTAATTACACTGTATAATACTCTGCCTTTGAAGAAATATTATTATCCATTTTGGTAATTATTCCATCATTCTAATCACTCATAATATTACAAAGATCCAAACTAATAAAGCGGTATTCATACAATAACTATATAGCATCCCCCTTCTTGTCAGTGTATCACCAACCCAGGGTACCAAGTAATGATACATGTACATATACTATAGGATCTCTAGAACAATCCCTTCTTTATATCCGCTAGCAAACTAGTTTTCAGTATTCAGACAAAATGCATTAATGTGCTCTCATGTTGCCTAAATGATAGGGTTTGTCAGTCAAGATACAGGAATATTTACATGAATATAACCTTATCACATAGATTATATCTAATGTTACTTTAATGAAGTGAATATACTATGTGCTATATAGATAGAGAAACAAACTTCCCAATATATGAAAAGATATCTCACTAGAAAGAGAATAAATACTTTATCTCATTAATCATTACTCTACACTTCTCTTTCATAAATGTATAAGAGAGGTAGGCCTAACTGTTGGCCTATAAATACACAAGTAGAACATTTAGTTATAAGGTGTGAGGAATTAGTTTTTCTCTTACCTAAAACAAAGGAGCTGCAATACCATTCAAAACCCATGTCTGCTCTCTACAAAAGCAAGATGGAGAAAGACTTGCCCAAAGTGGCCTATAACTAACACATCAATTCATTCTTATCAGGAATGCTACCATTGGTAATTCCACAAGAGAGAGTAAACAAGAAAGTGAGAGTGGGGAGAAGAGAGGAATAGAGATTTGTGTCTTAGCACTGGGGAATCCTATGTACATAAGGAGAGAGCAAGTTAGAAACAGGGAGTTGACCTCGAATCAAGGTCTGGGTGTGTGCTCTTATGTAATACCTGATAGTGACATTTCAAGGTGTTAAATATATGATACAGTCAGAATAAATGGCAACCCCCCCCCCCCCTTCCCAATCTGGTATGCTGCAAATAAATGTTTCAAAGTTTCAAAAGAATTTAATTAAATTTACAAGTAATTTGACAGGTTACTTCAGCATGAAAAAGCTATTGTTTCAATTTCAACACAAATTTTCTGAACTTTCAATGTAATTGCATATACAATTTATGTTCTGACAAAGAGGCTCAAAAATGTATCAAAATAATAAAGTATGCATTTGTTTACCTTAATTATTTCAGGTGAGAGATATCTTCAGATCAATATTTTTTATTTTAAAAAAAATTACATAAAAAGGATGCTGGTGGAGACAAGAAACTAGGAAGTAGGAACTCATTTTCCTTGGCCCAAGACATTTTAAAAATACATGTACATATATTAATAGAATAAATAAAAGAAATTGGCATCCTGAAGGGAACTTTAAAATACATATACATGTATACCGTGTGAGTCAAAAAAAAGTTTACAACTAGAAAAATGCTAATTATTCTAAAAATCATCTATGAACAGTAAATCATTATACATCTTATGAAAGAGTGTTTTATTCCAAATCGTTTGGTATCACTTTTGTGTGGTATGTGTTCACGCTTAGATGAACAGGAGGCATTGTTTGTGAAAGTGCAAAAATTGACTTGCGCCAAAGTGATGCCTACAGTATGTATTATGTTGGGATCAGCGGAGTGAGAGAATGAATTGAATGTATCAAATGAAATGCATTGCATATGTTTTTTGCAGAAGCAAAGTCACAAGCAAACACACTAACAATGTTCGTTGATATTTTATATTCAATTTTTGATATGTGTGGCATGATTAATTTTGTTTGGGATGTTATGTTGATCTGTAATGACTGAAATAATACCCATATCGCAATTGTTTTATTCAAACATCACATTAGCAACTTTGGCGCAAGTCGATTTTTGCACTCTCGCATACAATGCCTCCTGTTCATCCAAACATACCACACAAAAATGATACTAAATGATTCAAGATAAAACACTCTTTCATAAAATGTATAATAATTTACTGTTCACAGATAATTTTTAAAATAATTAGCAATTTTCTAGGTGTAAATTTTTTTGGGACTCACACTGTATACCTAACTGTTTTCCTGGGAGCTGGATCACCTGTTTACCAGCGAGATCGTGGCGAGCTCTGGGGAGCTCTGGGAAGCTCGCCACGAGCTCCTCAGTGTAACCCCGAGCTCGCCACGAACTCCCCCTTTTAACCACGAGCTCGCCACGAGCTCCCCCTTTTACCCACGAGCTCCCCACAAGCTCCCGAGTTTACCCCCGAGCTCGCCACGAGCTCCCCAGTTTAACCCCGAGCTCGCCACGAACTCCCCCTTTTACCCACGAGCTCGCCACGAGCTCCCCCTTTTACCCACGAGCTCCCCACGAGCTCCCGAGTTTACCCCCGAGCTCGCCACGAACTCCCCCTTTTACCCACGAGCTCGCCACGAGCTCCCCCTTTTACCAATGAGCTCGCCACGAGCTCCCTCTTTTATCCACGAGCTCGCCACGAGCTCCCCAGTTTACCCGCGAGTTTGCCACGAGCTCGTGGCGAACTCGTGCACGAGCTCGCCAAGATTTTGTAAGATCGTTACAAGCGTCCTGGGAGCGTGTTACGAGCTTAAAGCCTAAAAAACGATCTTATTAAGCTTACCACGAGCATAATACGAGTTCGCGACGAACTTAAATTTGTATAGGGGTGGCAATCTCGAGATGATGAAGACGCACCTATAGAGCTGAATTCAAGAAGGTATCACTAATAAGCTTCACATTTCTTGGCTCCTGTCGACTTTTAAGCATGGTATGTTTTTTATATTGTTTTGATGATTAACAAATTATCAAATGACTCAGCTCTCAGCGGATTATTTCCTTCTTTACATCCTGAAATACGAGTTTCTACAAACACCGTTGAGAATGCCAGCAAGATTCATTTTCCAAAAAGGAAGTAGACGAAGATGGGTAATATTTACATACCAGTATATGATAAACAACTCTTGAATAGTTGAATTACTAAGGATTAATTAAATCCATGCAAACACATTGTACAGAACACTTGCTTCAAGAACAATCTGTCACAGTAGGCACTTGACAAGTTTCAAATTGAAATATCATTCCTGTTTTCTTTGATTTGGATTTCGGATTCGATATGCTTGCAATTGAAATATTTATTTCAGTATATAGTTATATATTGAGAATGTGTTTGAATATTGTGTGTGAATATATTTAAACTGATGTGTTTGATTATTTGTTAGAAATTCAGAATCAGATGCATTATTTGTTGAATTTAGTTACAGAATTAAAATATAATACAAATAAAACTACAATTGATCAACATTTGTCTATGAAGGTGGATTTATTTGGCAGATTAGAATTTCAAACTATAATTCCTGTTTTCTTTGATGCTTGAAATTCAAATATATATTTCAGTATAGTTATATATTGAGAATGTATTTGAATATGTGTGTGAATAACAGTATATGTTTGAACTTATGTGTTTGATTATTTGTTTGAAATTCAGAAGTAGATGAATTTAGTTACAGCATTAAAATATAATACTAATGAAACTTCAATTAATCAGCATTTATCTATGAAGGTGGATTTATTTAGCGGATTTCAATTTAGCTATTACCATCTGATATTTGCTGAGAGTCAGACAAAACTTAATTAAGTGCAAATTGATTATTATGTAATACCCATTTTGTTCTCTCATTTTGTAGTACCTTTTAATTACAGTAGGTCCAAACACAAACCAAATCTCTGAAATGCTTTCAAACTGAATATTGCTTGAACTTATAGGGTGCATTTAATACTGGTTCAAAATGATTTTGTCTCGCCGTCTGTCTTTGGGGTATGCATTTACATGTATGTACAGACAGTGTATTTCTCGAGGGCAGATGTCGCCATTGAAAAAAATCTCATTATTGCACAGAACACATGCAGTGTGGAGTTTGGTCCCATAATTGGATCAGGGGGAAGAGAGAGAGAAGGGGGAGGGAGAGAGAGAAGGGGGAGGGAGAGAGAGAAGGGGGAGGGAGAGAGAGAGAAGATGAGATGGAGGGAGAGATAGAGAGAAGGAGAAGGAAGGAGAGGGAAGGATGGAGGAAGGGACTCAATAGGGGGATATATGGGGAGGGGGGCACAGAGATATTGCCCTTTTGGCTCTGATACGATGATGTACCTGTGAATGTAGATAATTACTTATACTCTTTTCACACTGGTTTTGCTTAACCCCGTACTTTGCTTAGCCCCGTACTATCCTTAACCCCGGACTATTTTTTTGGCTTTTCACACACGATGTTTTTAGTCCCGTACTAGCGCCTATTCCGGAATAAGAAAATTCCCGCTGTTCTCACTGCATTTCGTTAACCCCGGATATCGTGAATGTTCTGATTGGACATACTTCGCATCTGGCCAGCTGCGATACGCTCCATTGCGTAGTACCGGACTATTTTTTGTTTCTGTTCTCATTCATTTGCTTAGCACCACAATTGCGGGGTTAGCAGGAGTTAGCACCACAATTGCGGAGTTAGCCCTGCTATTTTGCAGGGTTAGTTAACCCCGTACTATAGGTGGGGTTAGCCAACTTTAGCCCACTTTGGTAAAAACCAGTCTGAACAGAAAGTGGAATAGGCTTAACCCCGTACTATAGGTGGGGCTAAGACCCCCCCCCCCCCTTAACCCCACCTATAGTACGGGGTTAAGAAAAATATTGCTAGTGTGAAAACAGTATCGGAGCTCTATGGGATAACATCAATGCTGACCCTTTTTTAGCACAGAGTTGAGGGGGAGGGGGAGAAAGAGATAAAGATGGAACATAGAGGTTAGATACAAGGAGGTGAGGTTGAAAAATGGGAACAGAGAGGAGGAAGAGAGAGAAAGAGAGAGAGAGAGAGAGAGAGAGAGAACAGGCTTGTCCACCTTTATTAATGTATCATCTATCCACCATTTCACTTCTAGATTGTTTAACAAATAAATAATTATCACATTCCATTCTTTTCTTTCTCTTTGATTTCTAGGTGGTAAGACTCAGGAGGGGTATCCCATCATCAACATGCCGGAGTGTCCCAAGTTTAACCTGGTCCGAGATGAAGACTTTGTCAGACTCATGACCTACCTCGTCAGGATACCAAGGTAAACATTTTTGGTATTGAATTATATATCATGTAATTATGTATATTTATGTGTATTTGTGTATAATTACATATTATACCATCAACTAATGAGGAGAGCCTCCTACAGAAATGTAGTAAATGTTTCGGTAGTCCCCAGGCATTAGTTAAAGGATTTTTTTTTTCTGTTATTGTATTTATTATTGTAATTTGTTTTCTTGTATTCTTTGTTATGGTTATACTCCTTTATGTCCCTGGAAATGAAATACAATAAACAAATCAAATAGTTTTCAAATGGTGAATTGCCATTTGGTCCACAACCAGTTCGTCTACTTTCCAATTGGTCTATTCCCTTATGGTCAACACCCGGTCAACACCCAGCCCGCGTCTACCATCCAATATGATAATAATAAGTCTAATAATCATTTGTCTATTTATCATTTGGTATAATGACCATTTTACATTGTATCACTATCCTATGGAAGTTGTACCACTCGGCGGCGGTGGCGGAGCTTATTGTGAGCACGCACTGGTGATCAGCCAGCTGTTACGTTAATGGACCTCTTCAAAGTAGTTTCTTGATACAATATTTCATTTTACGATTTGGTTTTCCAGTCTGTATACCCCTTTCGCTTTAGGATAAATCTTTAAACGTTTCTTTATATGAGTCTTGCAGGGAAAGTCAGGGGTACTTTGGTATCTTTCGGTAGTCCCAAATCATATTGCAATAATGATGAAAAATTGAAATTGAAATGCACCCAAATTGATTGATTGATTTGATTGATTGAAAAGGTTTTATTGATTGCACTTCGCAGCCAGATGGCTGAATTATGAACAATTTACATTGGCAATGAATTATAATACATACAAATGTGGTTGACATTGTCACAAAGTATAATATACAGTATATAACAAAATTCATAGCAAAGTTCGTAACTAATATGACTAAGGCAATAACAGGCAAATTAATTCACGTTTAAAATATATTTTGTGAGGTGACACAAGAGTAGGTCAAAGGATGAGCAAGCAGGCCCTTTGCTCTTCAATACACGCTCTCATTCCTATACACGCTCCTATTCTCACTCCTGTACCTTGGACACTCTCATAAACACTCACATTTACACTCTTATACACACTCCCATTCACACTCCCATACACTAGCTAACGGTCTGCTCGCTCATCCCTGGACCTCTCTTGTGTCAAGGAGTGTCGGGTATTTAAAAAAAAGTAAACAACAAAACAAGTAAGCTCCTTCCCGACTTTCGTAAATTGGGGAGAAATAAGCAAATGAATTAAAAACTTGAACACCATTTGATCTGAATTGCCATGTCATGATTGCTACAAAACCTTATCACTATTCAATGCCTGCAGATAGCATTAACAATAGTGTGCAAAATTGGGCATCACAATGAAAGGTCAAATGTTACATTGCGGTTTGTCAGTCAAGACTCTAACAAGGAGGGGAATTTTCGGTGGTATCCTGCCACCCTGCTCCCCTGATTGCAATTATCCTCACTGGTACCTGCTCTGTGAGTGTGTCTTCATCAGCTCGAGTTTGCCAAATAACTCGCTATTATAAGTATCCCGATCGCAAATTAGCTACCGGTAGTTAATTTGCGTCATCATCAGCCCGCAGTTGCAATTAGTGGGATATTTGGTCAAGAAAATATCCTGAGATATCTTGGTCTTGTTTCCAAAATAGCAGGCTAATTTGCGCCTGTCCGAGCTAGTTTGTGATGAGCGTATCGGTCAGATGAAGACGCTATTTCGAGTTTCAGGATAATATCTAGAGTCTGAAAATAACGGGTCATTCGGCAAACTCGAGCTGATGAGGACAGGCCTTGTGAGAGTGTCGCCCCCATGGCCATTCACTCCTTAGATCGTAACGACTCGGAGGAAACAGGATGTGTTTCTGTGCGCTACATGGAGCTCAAGCGTTAAGTCAAATTTCCTCAGTTAAGGGCCCTTTCAGACCTGAGGTGGTACATGTACCGTATATACAATATTCTGTTCACACTACAAAAAAGTTACGCGAAACTCATGAAACAAAATCCCATAGTAAGAATCATCATATAGCAAAAAGCACAGACACATGTGAAAAGTATATAAAGAAACATTGTATTAAAATAAATAGTGTATAAGAGGGCAGTTGGCATATGTTTAGTGTCAGCTTGGGTGACAGCTGGCCACGCAGTCGTCATCATTGCGCAATGATGATGATGATGCCCAGTTGTACAATTTTTGTCTATACAACATTATATGAAATATGAACAATAAGTTAATCATTATCACGTTTTTGTTCGAAGCGATGCTCAAATTTCTATTTTGCTTTACCGGTACGATTTTTTTATGTGACATTCAGACAGGGGGGAAAAATTAGTACTTATTGTCTAGCTGTACAAAAACTGTATGAACTTTGCTAGACAAGGTATAAAAAAGAACCGGCAACAGCATTTTTAAAAGATCTATTATAGTGGCTTTCAAATTTCATTAACTTGTAACACACAGATATTAAAGTTCTTGTGTAATGGGGCCATAATTCTTACCTACCCCCCCCCCCCCCACACACACACACACTTTCTGTCCCCTGTCTAAATGGGGCTTCATGTTTTAAAGACCCCCTGCTGTAGACTTTATGAAGATTCAGCTAGCCAGCTAGGGGGTTGTTATCTTCATTATTAGGTGAGCTGACATCATCTAATGACATTTGGTGTATTGTCTGATGGAAGCCAGAAGGGTGTCAACTCCATTAACACATAGCAGGGAAAAAAATACCGTACTTAAAAATGTCGGAGGCTACTTTTCAAGCTTGCTTGCATGAAAAAAGCACTCTTTAATTTGTTTTGCATTGAACTCTATGCAATTTTTGGGGGGCTCTTTTATGACTTTCGGGGGCTGTTTGGGGCATTTCGGGGCTATTTCGCCCCGAGCCCCCGTGTAATTTTTTCACTGACACATCGTTAATGCCCTTTTGGCTCTAAAAAGGCAATGAATCTGTGAATGCTTACATGTACATATAGATACAAAAAGCTCTAGGGGGATATTATTTTCATGTCATACCATCAATGCTGTTTCTTAGCACAGGACAACAAAATTCACCAGTCTTCTCAAATTTTAAATGATGTATATCAGTCAGTATTGTCTGTTCGGGGTCAGAAGTGTTTCGGTGTAAAATGTTCCTCAGCACACAATGTCCTGTTTCATACCATTTTTATGCCTCCGTTACGAAGTAGCCGGAGGCATTATGTTTTCGGGTTGTCCGTCCGTCCGTCCGTACGTCCGTACGTCCGTACGTCCGTCCGTCCGTACGTCCCGTTCTCGTGATCGCGTTATCTGAAGAACCGATTGATGGATTCCTGCCAAACTTTGGTCATGTATGTTACTTGCAGAGCCGATGAACTGATTAGATTTTGGGGTCACGAGGTCAAAGGTCAAAGGTCGCAGGGCTCATTATGTATGCAAAAACAGCTCGTGATCGCGTTATCTGAAGAACCGATTGATGGATTCCTGCCAAACTTTGGTCTTGTATGTATCTTGCAGAGCCGATGAACTGATTAGATTTTGGGGTCACAAGGTCAAAGGTCACAGGTCACAGGGCTCATTAGGTATGCAAAAAGAGCTCGTGATCGCATTATCTCAAGAACCGATCGATGGATTCCTGCCAAACTTTGGTCATGTATGTATCTTGCAGAGCCGATGAACTGAATAGATTTTGGGGTCACGAGGTCAAAGGTCAAAGGTCACAGGGCTCATTATGTATGCAAAAATAGCTTGTGATCGCATTCTCATTAGAACAGATTGATGGATTCCTGCCAAATTTCGATCATGTATGTATCTTGCAGAGCCAATGAACTGAGTAGATTCATGGGTCATGAGGTCAAAGGTCAAGGGCTCATTATGTATCCAAAAATAACTTGTGAACGCATTCTCATTAGAACTGACAGATGGATTACTATTTAACTCAGGACATCTTGCAGAGCCAATGAACTGAGTAGATTTTAGGGTCATCAGGTCAAAGATCAAAGGGTCATATATGTATATGAGAAATTGCTTGTAATCACGATATTCTGAGAACCTCTTAATGGATTACAATTGAACTTGAATTTGAAAAATTTCTTCTGTTTTGGTTTGTAAAATTGCTCTATGACGGAGGCATCATTTTCGACTGCGCGCAGTCGAAGTTCCATCTAGTTTTTTTACTTTATCACTTTATTCATACTTTTCCTTGTATTTTATATACATTTATATGGCATAATTTTGGTATGATACCAGGGAATAATGTCAATTACATGTAGGTGATCATTCCCATTCAGATTCTCTTTCTGTTGGTCGTCTACAACCTGCAGTTATGATTAATCAACACAATGTTTTGTTCTCTTTTCACTTTGAATATTCACAACCTTTTTCCGTTTTGATGTTGAATTATATCTGTGAATTAAATGTACATGACTGAATTTTTATGTCAGATCATGATGATTCAATGTTCTTATAATGATCGTTTATTTCATAATTTCTATCACTTAATGAGGTTCAGGTTTTTGTTCAGAAGCTTTTTCTTTATTCTAACCACAATCGCAAAGACTTTTCAGAAATCAACCAAAGGACAATATCAGTAGTGCCTCACCCTCTGAAATGTGTGCACATGACAATAGGATATTTATATTTATATTTATATTTATATTTATAAATATTTATATTATTCATATTACATATTTTGTAATGAACGTTATCAGGACATGAGTTTCTATTGGAAATGCAATAGGTATTGAAAATGCTCTTAAGTTGTCTTTTTGATAGTCTTTGCAAATGTGTTTCTTATTCCTATGCACAAATAAGCTACCTGGTTGTTTTCTTCATCGTTGACATACAGTCATTCTTTGTCATTTTCATATTCTTAAAGATAAAGTTGAGTTCTGGTCATGCGATTGAATTGTGAAAGAAACATTGTGGAATCCATCAGAATCCATCAGGTTGATCATCTAGCAAGGTACTAGAATCATCGAAATGATAAGAAATTTGACC